GACGCAACCATATGATGGATTAATAACCATAAAATAGATTTAATAAAAAAATGCAATCTTTATATGCTTTAATAACTAAAAAAAAATTTATTTGAAAAAAAGATGTAACCCTCTGATGTATCACTAATCAAACAGATTTTTCCCAAAAAAATGCAATTCTTAGATGTTTTAAAAACCATACAATATATTTTTCGAAAAGACGCAATCGTACAATACATTAATCACTATAAACCGGACTTTTCGAAAAGACGCAATTCTAAGATGCTTTTATAATCATAAAAAGGTTTTCTAAAAAGATGCAATCATAGGATTCATTAATAACAATAAAACAGATTTCTCAAAACTACGCAATCCTATAAAGTTTTAATAACCATAAAACTGGGTTTTCGAAAAGACGGAAGCCTTAATTGCTTTAATAACCATAAAACGATGTTTTCTAAAACAGATGCAACCCAATGATGTATTCATAACCATAAATTTAATTTTCGAAACGACGCACCATTTAAATGTTTTAATAACCATAAAACGATTTTTTATAAAAAAAATGTAACCCTATGATGCATTAATTAAAACATCATAGATTTTAAAATTTAGCCATAAATTCTGAATTTGATAAAGAATTTCAACATTTGTTACACAAATCAATAATTTTAGAAACTTCTACAATGGTAAAAAATTCAATACTCTTGAATAATTTTAAAATAATAGAATGTCATATAAAAATATAAAAAATGTTCAACAACAAAATATATAGAGTTAAAAACACAAATATATAGAACAAACGGTTTTTTTTGAAAAGACACAATAATATCTGCATTGTCTAAAGAGATCCAAAATTCTTTACACAAATCAAGAATTTTAGGAATTTCATCAATAGTAAAAAGTTTAATATTTAAAAATAATAGATTGACGTTTCTATCTATCTTACGCTTTAAGTGAATTATAGAACCAATAGCCATAATTAAAAATATGATCATCGGTAGAAAAAAGTAAAACATATATATATAGGCAAAACGGTTTTTTCGAAAAGACGCAACTCTTAACAATAACCATGAAGCGGTTACTTTGAAAAATAACGACGTAACGATTTTTTACGAAAAATCACAACCCAAAAGTATTTTATTTTTAAAAAG